AAAGAATAAGAGCGTTTCAGTCCTTTAACAGATCATCTGCTGCAGCATAAACATAGACTTGGTTTCACTGGTGGGATTTTTGTGCACATCACATTTAATGCTGCAGCTGGTAAAGAGGGAGCTAGTTTTAACTACCTGTAGTTTGTGAATTTTCCACCATAGATCAGTGATGTCTTATAATTATACTGTATTTTTTGTATTAATCTGGTTATGAAAAGTAACTAGTAACTAAGGTTATACGATCAATATAGTGAAATAAAAGAAATACAGTACTTGCCTGTATAATGTAGTGAAGTCAAAGTAAGAAGTAACAGAAAATGAAAATACTCAAGTACAGATATCTCAAAGTTGTACCTAAGTACAATATTTGAGTAAATGTACTTAGTTACTTTCCATCACTGTAATATTTGGCCCATACAGTATAGTTTTTTTTTACTGCCACTTGGAGAAAGTCTGGAGTTCAAATGAATGGGAGGAAAAAGAAAAAACAGTGATCAAGCACTATATGAAGGCTTATTGGAGATTCTTTCAGGGAGTAAAATATGATATGTAGCTCTGTTTTCACACATTCCTTGCTCAGCGCCACTGTCACGGCGGTATAAAGTTCAATAACCAGCAGAAGTTGTTCGCATGAATGTGATTAAAGCATCGAGGTTTATGGAGATGCCAGGCGCCTGCTAAAATTCCCTGCCTCTGTGGTGACTGGCTGAGCATCTGTGTTTTAGGGCCGTCTGTGCTGCTCTGCCTGCCTTTACTATGTTATTTGTATTTAGACAGTAAAGAATGACGAGGACAAAACATTCAGCCACTTTGTGTGGCTGACTTCACATTTACACCCTGACACTAACCAGTTCAGATGACTTGAAGGAATGAAAGGACAGTACTAAATTTTTCAGTGCTTCAGTGATCCAAGCAAAACCATTTGACAACAGAAAATGTTATTGGTATTTTCAAACAAATATACCACATAACGGGCTAAATTTGACATTGCACTACTTGGTGGACACTCACAACCCTGTGACACAAAGCTGCATTTGGCACTGGGTCAAGAAGATCACTAACAGGATATTGGTCTGACACAAAGAGGCTTTTAAAGTAATGACCACAGAAATGCTGGGACAAAGCTATCCCTAGTCTTCATATTAAAAATGGATGAAAGGTAGTAAACTGAATGTCCTCCATAAGACAATAGCTCTCATTTGGCCACTGGGTTAAGTGCATGTTCATGCAGGCATGATGGAGTGACAGCAGATAGGACAGAGTTTGACAAATTCACACAGAGTGGTCATCACAGATTTGGCACAAAAGGCCTAATAGCGAGTGAGAGCTCTGACAAAGTGGGTAAGTGGGCCATTGTTCCACAGGCAAGTCAGTAGGACTTAATTTGGACACTAAACAATAATGAATAAGGTCTGACAAGTTACAAGTGGATCACCTTTTACCAAATTCCCTATGGATTTAGCCTGCCACTCAATCATTTTTGTTCATTTAAATAAATTCCCCCAACTACTGTTAAAAGATTAGATGAAAGCAACCTGGTGAGTTTCCAGTCTGACATGTTTAATGAGTGTATGAGCTGCTAAGCAGCTGAACAGAAGAGACCAGGCAGCTGCATCCGCTGGGGCTGGTTTGGCTGCTGACCAGCTGCTGCTGAAATAAGGTTAAAGAACCAGAGGATGTACAGTCATACTTTTCAAAGCTGTATCCCTCACAGTGGGTCAGGCTTTCTAACAAACAGGGGTTTTGATGTTGAATCAGTCATGATTAAAATGTTTAAAGTGTTCACCTTTTCCGAGCTCTGTCAAATGAGCTTCAGCTGAAGGTCTGACCTAGAAAAGCACCTACAGTTGATTTTCTGAAGATGAAGCCGTTTCCATTAGCATACAACAAATGTGTCATCAAGGATTATGTATTCTGAAATCGAAATATATGCAGAATGTAATGTAGTTGCACAAAAGGGGCTAGAAAAATGTGCACTAAAAAGGCACACCAACTCTTTACATGAGACTCATTTAAAACTATTTTCTCATTTCAAATGGTTTTAGAGGGCAGTTATTCACTCAGTGCACAGGCTAACATCTGGGAGTAACCTTTGTCTGAGGACAAAGAGAAGTGCGATGTACAGCACAAAATCTGGCTTGACACCTGGTTCTTGCCTGGACTGGAAAGGACGGTCATAAGTAGAGTGAAAAGACAGAATGTAATCCTGGAATGACTCTGTTCTGTGGTCTGCATAGCTAAAATAAAAAAAGCCCACAATGTGGAAAAACCCACTGTTTTACGAGCTTGTGAGACAAGTGAAGCATTCAGCGTAGGACCGTTTTATGACTCTCATGATAAACCACAACAAATCTTAAAACTCTCACAACACTGAGCATTGGAAAAGCTTTAAAATATCACATACAAAGTTACATTTGCATAGAAGAATACTACTAATCTTTAACCACAAGGACAGTGGCTACAGTCCCCCTGATATTTGTCCATTGATTATGAATGAAATGTGCTGAGCACATCAAATACAAGAATGACTTAAACCAGTCACAGCTCCAAGGCCATTTCCTTCTTCCTGACCTGTACAAAACAGATCTCCATTAGCCAGGACTACCGCTAACAGACACAGGGAGGAGCTCTCATTAAAGAGCCCGTGGCATGCTTTTCCCTTTTCTGACTTATCTACAATGTTACAAGGATGATTTATCATCTAAAATGTGACTAAAACACCATCTAGCAGCTGTTGTGGAGCATCGAGCTGTATCACATCATCTTCATCATCAAAAAGAGTTTGGAAAAAAAAATCCACAAGAGACCATCTTACAAAAAAAACTGGGCTGCTAAATGGACCTTGTAGAGAGACTGTTCTCACAGATAAAAATCTGATTAATCCAATTATTTTTATTTTATTTTAAACTTAAAAATGTTTCTCATAGAGAAGATAAAAAGTTTTAGACCAAATCTTCTGTCAGTAAATAATTAATGGCCACACATTTTAATATACCGACTATTTTAAAAAGATGACTTACTAGGACAAGCATACTTCCTACCTAAAGATGTGAAAAGAAGACAATTTAACCTTCATGCTCAAAGGCCATGAGTGTTTTATTTACTTTTTTTTTTTACAGCATAACTCCTGTTTAAAGTATTATTTAAAAATCTAGAGGAAAGTAGGAGGAGGGGTTAAATTCTCGTGGGAAGACAGGCGGGGTAAAGATAAAAAAAATTCCTCTGGGAAATAAAAACAAAAATATATTACATTACATGATAATATAAACTGCCTGAAAAAAAAAATTGTTAAAAAGGAACATATAAGGGAGAAAAGGGGGGAAAGTTAATTTAAGGCAACTGCTAGTTAGCTGAGTTTGCACAAAAATAGTCTCAGTTCTTCCCCTCGGTCAGTTAGAGTGAACGGAGTCATAGTCGCTGTTGGCTAAGTAATGGGATGCCAGAGGGGCGACCGTACACTCGTGAGTGGAGCCTGTCATGATGGCGGATACTCTACATCAGATACATAAGCACGGTCAACTCATAAATATTGCAGGACTGGGGAGTTGGCTTGAAAGGTGCAGTATTGCATTCGCTTTCTCCTGTGTCACTTTGGCGAAGTGGACACCTGAAAGAAAGGTGTTGCTATCAAACACATTTTGGGGGTGGAGAGAGAAGCTGCAGTATTCCTGGGACAGAGAAACAAAGTAACCGTGATTCTTTATAATCATTTTACAGAATTTAACTGATGAATTTAGCTTTGGTCCATTTTTTTGTGGAGCATTATTTGAACTGAGCAATTGTCCAACCAGAGTTGTGAAGATAATTTGCAAGATGTTCTGAAAATATTTACAAGTCTGTTAAAAGATCATGTAACATTAAAGGACAAAGTGAAAGTTGCTGAAACCTGGTCAACCAGAGCAACACGCCGTAGACAGCAGAGTAATAAATCCAGTATAGTGTAGTGGGGAAAAGGGAAAGGGGAGGCAAATAGTCCATTACTCATATTCCAACAATTTTTCAGTTATAATTTTCAAGGAACTACAGCTCATCTTTGCAGCTGTCACCACAATAAACCAGAGCAATTTATACCATTTTAAATTCATTTATAAACTGCCAAGTAATTCAACTGTTCAAGCTGCTTCAGAGAGTAAAAGAAAAGTGCAACTATTCACAGAAATAAAAGGGGAGGCTACATGAAATCATTCAGACACATATACATATCAACAGATGTATATATTACAGTACAGAAGAGGGATGTTTTCTCAGTGGAAATCTTGGGACACATTATCTCAGTGGTGGGAGCTGTTTAAAAAAAAAAAGAAAGGTGAAACAAAGATAACCAGAGAGTAAAGCTCTTACAGTCTGCTGGCTTTAGAAAAAAATTAAGAAGTGGTTTGACAATCCGTAGGTTTCCGAGGCCGAGTGGAGCTGGATCCAAAAGCCACGCTGCCCCTGTTATCTTTTCTTTCTCATTTCTTCTCTCTTCACTCAAGTCTGTGTGTCCGGTGAAGACGTGTCAGCCTGAGTGTCCTGTATCCCGCTTTAGTGTCTGTACACAACAGTCTCTGCAGTGTAGTTCTGTCCAAGCAGTATGTGTAAACACCACTCTGAGAACAAGGGCAGGACAGCCGGTGAGACACCACATCCCAAGTGTTCCTTATTATAATCTGACCTGAGACCGGGACTGGTCAAATGGCCTCTGTACTCATGGGCCCTGAGTTTATTCACTTCTACTCACCGAGGCTGCATTTACAAAGAACGTCCTTCCGGTTTGGGAAAGTAAAGGAAACGAGAAGAATCTGTGTGTGCCTCATTTTCTGTCTGCTTATATTCCCACTGTGGCTAAATGGTGGTGAATGGCATATTATTACCCTGCATGGCAGAGAGAACATTTCCCAGGCTTTGGTTTGGATTTGTCAAAGCATGTGTGTGTTTGCATGTGCATGCTTCTGCATGCTTATCTGTAAACTGTAAGTGCTCGCAGTAGTTATGTGTGTGTCTGCATGTGTTGTAAGTGTCTCTCTAAATATGCATCATTCTTGCAGTCTGCTATAGGACCACCAGCTGTTTGGGGAAAGGTTTAACGTCCAACACCGCTTTAAAAAACATCATCCCGGGAAGAATCTTTAGAACCCCGCCACCGATAACAAAACAAAGGAATAAAATCTGGAGGTGTGAATGTCCACGGCCAACACATGACAGGTCCATTTTATACTGAGAGCAGTCACAGATTGTATGACAATAGCAGCCACTGCTGCACACACTGTTCTACGCTTGTCCAGAAAATAAATAACACTGCAGTCACAAACAAGATCTCTGGGCTGACACATCACCTGAGTGACAGAGAGAGAGAAGAGTCACAGAATTACACAAGTCATAAGTACTGTGTAAAAGCACATTTACACCGCACATAATATAGATGAATCAGTTTGTATTCTTTTAGAATTTAGCTAAATGTGTTACTGCAGCCAGAACTTGCCAAAAGGCAAATGGACACTGAAACTTCCTGTTCTCCTGGCAAATTACAGTACAACCCTCAAGACTGTGCACAACAAGCTGAAAGAACCATGACTGGTTTAAAACCTCAAGAGCTACAACAATCAAATGCATACAAGGGGACGATATGGTAAGGCTGATGGCACTGCTTGCTACCTACAAACTATAACTATAAACTATACATAATCATGTAATATGGAAAAACATGAACATTAACAGAATGTATAAGGTGTAGTTTGTAAAGAGAAAGAGGGGAGTTGAATATTTCTAAATGAGGTGAAGCCAGTAAATGTGCAGGAGGGAGAGGGAGTAGACCAGGGTCAAATCATTTTTGCATCAAAAAAGCACTGAGCCACCCAGTAATCGTGCTGTGAAAACAGCTGACAATATAGTATGGAGTTAGTAAGAGATCCAAAAGAAAGACGGTGGTGGTTAGAACGTTCTACTTAAAGCCCACAGGACTCACCTCTGTTACAGGACACACCAAAGACTTCAAGGCCAAAGGATGAAGGCAAGAGAAAAGAACAAGAACAGAAAAAGAAACTGGAGAAAGAAAGAAAAAGATGAAGAAGGGACAAAGAGAATTAGAGGAACCCTCGAGATAGGTTAGTAACAGCAGACAGAAACAGAGGCTCATTGTACAGAGATGCTGGAGCTGTGAACATTATGAAACCATATTTCCAAATATCACTTATGTAGTTATCTACAGTGGGTTCATTTGTCTTTTTTTAGCTCTTCTGTGTGTTTGTTTTCCAATTTTTCATTTGTTCTAAACACTTAAAATTCAATTTAACATGGATTCCACAGGCTTTTGTGTGAAAACTCGTTTCTGACTGCCTCTAAGCAAACGTCCTAATGGTTGTTATATTGCAGCCCTATGCTAAAATCATTTAAGTTCATTTTTTTCCTCATTAATGTACACACAGCACCCCATATTGACAGAAAAACACAGAATTTTTGACATTTTTGCAGATTTATTAAAAAAGAAAAACTGAAATATCACATGGTCATAAGTATTCAGACCCTTTGCTGTGACACTCATATATTTAACTTAGGTGCTGTCCATTTCTTCTGATCATCCCTGAGATGGTTCTACACCTTCATTTGAGTCCAGCTGTGTTTGATTATACTGATTGGACGTGATTAGGAAAGCCACACACCTGTCTATATAAGACCCTACAGCTCACAGTGCATGTCAGAGCAAATGAGAATCATGAGGTCAAAGGAACTGCCTGAAGAGCTCAGAGACAGAATTGTGGCAAGGCACAGATCTGGCCAAGGTTACAAAAAAAATTTCTGCTGCACTTAAGGTTCCTAAGAGCACAGTGGCCTCCATAATCTTTAAATGGAAGACGTTTGGGACGACCAGAACCCTTCCTAGAGCTGGCCGTCCGGCCAAACTGAGCTATCGGTGAGAAGAGACTCGGTGAGAGAGGTACAGAAGAACCCAAAGATGACTGTGGCTGAGCTCCAGAGATGCAGTCGGGAGATGAGAGAAAGTTGTAGAAAGTCAACCATCACTGCAGCCCTCCACCAGTCGGGGCTTTATGGCAGAGTGGCTCGACAGAAGCCTCTTCTCAGTGCAAGACACATGAAAGCCCGCATGGAGTTTGCTAAAAAACACCTGAAGGACTCCAAGATGGCGAGAAATAAGATTCTCTGGTCTGATGAGACCAAGATAGAACTTTTTGGCCTTAATTCTAAGCGGTATGTGTGGAGAAAACCAGGCACTGCTCATCACCTGTCCAATACAGTCCCAACAGTGAAGCATGGTGGTGGCAGCATCATGCTATGGGGGTGTTTTTCAGCTGCAGGGACAGGACGACTGGTTGCAATCAAGGGAAGGATGAATGCGGCCAAGTACAGGGATATCCTGGACGAAAACCTTCTCCAGAGTGCTCAGGACCTCAGACTGGGCCAAAGGTTCACCTTCCAACAAGACAATGACCCTAAGCACACAGCTAAAATAACGAAGGAGTGGCTTCACAACAACTTCGTGACTGTTCTTGAATGGCCCAGCCAGAGCCCTGACTTAAACCCAATTGAGCATCTCTGGAGAGACCTGAAAATGGCTGTCCACCAACGTTTACCATCCAACCTGACAGAACTGGAGAGGATCTGCAAGGAGGAATGGCAGAGGATCCCCAAATGCAGGTGTGAAAAACTTGTTGCATCATTCCCAAAAAGACTCATGGCTGTATTAGCTCAAAAGGGTGCTTCTACTAAATACTGAGCAAAGGGTCTGAATACTTATGACCATGTGATATTTCAGTTTTTCTTTTTTAATAAATCTGCAAAAATGTCAAAAATTCTGTGTTTTTCTGTCAATATGGGGTGCTGTGTGTACATTAATGAGGACAAAAATGAACTTAAATGATTTTAGCATATGGCTGCAATATAACAAAGAGTGAAAAATTTAAGGGGGTCTGAATACTTTCCGTATCCACTGTATGTTCAAGCTGCTCTTCAGTTAATGTGTATATGTGTTCACTTACCTTTTCCTCCAGGTCTTTAATATGCCTCCTCTGGATTTCTGTTTTGTCTTCAAGATCACGAATTCTCTGCAAATATTCAGAGACAAAAGTGAGCAAAGTGCTGCTGTGTTGGGAGGCCAGAGGCTACGCAAAGAGAAATCTCATTTACAGGAGGGTCAAATCTCTTCTCACATACTGTAGAGCTCTGCTACCACACACACACACACACACACACACACACACACACACACACATCTATTTGTGGTGCAGTTGTAGACAGACCTGATACGCCTGGTGCAGCAGCTCCATCCTCTCCTGGAGGATCTGACAGTCATACTCTCGACTCTTCCTCAGCATCTGCCTCCTCAGCTTTTCCACCGCCGTCCGCAGCTCATCTCTCTGAAGCTCATCCAGAGGCTCGCCGTACTTTATCACCTGTGGGAATGAGACAGGCGTCACACAAAGTACTGTAGATACCACAAAGGATGTAAAACTGCTTCTCAACACGTGGCAAAATCTCCACTCTCACAGTCTTATGTACTGTGAACACTTCTTATACCAGCTGAGGCTTTGGGGAATCTTTAGAAGCCTTCTAGGAATCTTATCTTTAATAGAAATTTCAGTTTTTTCATCTGTCTCCATGGTGATCACATCCATTTAGAATGAGAATCAAAATCATCATTATTTGCAAAGTATGTTGAACACAAACGGAATCTGACTCTGGTACAGTGGCTCTCGATGTGCTTTTGTAAGTCAACCAGAAAAAAAGTGCATTTAAATCAAATAAAGATACAAAAACAACAGTCTATTAATAAATACATATACATATGTAGTTAGCTTTGCGTCATCACAAGAATGTGATCATCTCAAAGCAAATTAAATTTGACCTCATTTTTCACATCTTCCAAATGACATAATATCACTGGTGTTTTACCAGAGGTGGACACATTTAGATACATTTTGTTAAATTTTGCTTTTTGTAACAATAAGCTTGTAATAATGTGTGAAATGAAAGAACCTTGTCCTGCTGCAGAGCGTTGTATAGCGTTGCTTCCAACTCCTGGATTTGCTGTTAAGAGGAGAAAAAAACTGTGATGACATACACACAAATTCACTGTACTATAGTTATAAGGACATTACAACCCCTAACCCTACAAACATACACTATTACATGTGCTCCCACAGTGTGAGTGAACAGATGTTTGCGCCACAATGAAATACAGACACACATACCATGTAGGCCTGGTCCAGGGCCTGTTTTCTGTAGTCCAGCTCTTCTTCGAGGTATCCTTTCTGTTTACAGAACATCTCCTGTGCAGATTAAGTAGGTCAGAGACAGTTAGAGGGAAACATAACAACCATTTTACTGCTAGGGTCTAGGCGTTATAGGGGATATGCGAATTACTTTTAATATGAGATTTTCAGCTTTGGCTTGATTATTGCCATGAACAGATAAAATAGCATAAGAGGCCCAGTTCATATGTGTTACTGGCAGTGTCAATCACATCACAACTCAAAATCATGTAAAACAGCAGTATTTATCTTTGCAGGATTGCTGGGACTCACCATCTCTATCTCCAGGTCCATCATCTTCTGGTGCAGTGCTGCCTCTGTCCCTTCAATCTGCTGAATCCACTAGAGGGCAACAAAGAGCAGAACGCAAGTCAGAGCAAGGCAAACTGTTCTGTGGGCTGAGTTTAGTTTTTAATGTCCAGGTTTCTAAACTTACCTTTTCTGCTAGCGACAGAACAGTGCTGGCCTGAATAATGGCCACTTGCTCCTCGTTTCTTAAGTTCTATACAAAAGGAAAAAAACTTGTATTGACAATGTGCCTGTTTTATTGTCATATGGTGATGTGTTCATTTCATATGAATTACCCCATTGTCTCCCAGGATATCTAGAAGTTTAATGAGATCCGGTATGCACACGTCCTGTGAAGAAAACAGAATAAAACTGGAGCATACAAATAACTTACCTTTGCTTTTTCACTTTTATTCTAGATTTTTTCCATTATAACAAGTTGAGAGTATATTTATATTTGCTTGTTAAACTCTGGATAAAAACAAGTGACAGGAAAATACAAAAGCAGGCAACTTCCCAGCTATGGCCATATGAACTTGTGGGTCCAGTGGCCACAGAGCAGCGACAGACCTGCTGAAATGATAAAGCACAGGGGTTGTTCTCACTGCGTACCTTGACCCCCTCCTTCATACAGTAGATCTGCAGCGCACTGACTCCCTCGGAGAAGGGATGCATCCTCAGGTGGCTGAACGGAGGAGACCTCCTCTCTCGCTCCTGCAACAACACAAATAGTTTTCATTGTACAAAGAATATCCAACTCAAACTCACAAGATCACGAGTCCTTCTTGACTTAACACCTGGATGAAGCAGCATTTTCTATTGGCTTGTGGTTTTTTGCCTTTGTCTCCTTTGTCTTCTTTGATTCCATGCTGCTCTGTCCACTGATATTCATTACAGCTAGTAAAGATTACAGTGACCACTATATTTAATTCAAGCAATAGGTTACATTTAATATTACTTTTCATAGATGCCAATTATCTGCAGTATTTTTGCCCTGAGTCTTCCAGAATTCCCTGATCCAGTGAAGTTCTAGTAAAGTATTTATGCGCCTTTTCATTTTCACAATGATAATGTTTAAGTTTCAGCAGGTGGTGCTCTCTGCTTTGTTCAGCCATGAAAATGCTGACTGCCCATACTGCAAACTGCTGCTGCCGTCTCGAGAGGCATCAAACACCTGATAGCAGCGGTAGAACACAAAGACCACTTTCAGCTACTTATCAGTCAGACTGACAGGCTGGAGGGGCCACGTCTTTACCGCTGAGTGACCAACTTCACAGGCAAATTCAACATAGGGGAAAACCGTATTTAATTAGGTGTCTAGCATGTCAAACAATTTAGTGCTTCTTATGCAAAACCAGTAGGTGTGTGCATGAGTCAGCACGCTGAGTCCTCGCACAACACAGGACATTTCACCTGTCAAACGTAGACTGCAAAATTAACAATAATACCTCTAGCTCCAGTATCCTAAACTCTAACAGTTCGTTCTGGTCTTTGGAGTCTTGTAGCTCCTGCTGCAGCCGACTGGACTCTGACTCCATCTTTTCGATCTGGACACAGTAAAGGATCAGAATAAATGAGTAGAAAGAAAGAAAGTTTGTCCACACATTTATATTGTAGCTACAGTAGGAGCTGGAAGTAAACATAGCTGTTTACATCTTTATAAATATAACATCTTTAGAAATACTGCATCTGTTTGATGACTGGAAAACAAACTAAGTTGAGTCCAACCTTCTCCAATAGTTCCTGATTCCTTCGTAGGAAGAGCTGCTTGTCCTCCACCCACTTGGAGTCCTAACAGAGGACAGAGACAGTTGAGGCTTTAAATCAGAGACATTTGAGGAAAGGAAAAAATCCATTTAACACATCTGTTTCAGAAGATACCACCCCCACTTTTAATTAATTTCTGTGTTGTAGTTTTATCTTCATTAGGAAAAAATTTGCTTTTTGACATAAAAACAGCATACAGCATAGTTCATATAGTATCTAATGTGCTCAGTTCAACAACCCACTGGCATATCAAAAAAAATGTGTCGTTCTTATAAAGTTTCAGATTTGCGCGTGCTTGTGTGTCATACCTGCCCCTTCATGGTCAGTTCCTTCTCCAAGTCCTCTATTTTGGCTTTATACCTGAGAACGTCTGCTTGGAGCTGCTCATGAGCCTGAAACAGGAGCGAAACACACACTCATCAACTACAAGGACAGATTTCCGAAGGAGGTTTGTGCCAGTATTATGAGGGCACATGCATGGGCAGAGCCGGGAGTGGCCAAGTGTGGCACCAGCCACCCCTGCCAGAGTCAAAATCTGATGCCTGTCAGTATTAATGAATGAAAAACTACAGGGGGAATCATTCTAGATCCACCTCTGTGTACACGGGATTTTTAATTGGATAATTTTAACTAATACAGACAGAAATATAATTTGATATCTTTCTAGAATCTGTCATTCATTCCTTTGTCACTGCAATACAGAATCTGTTCTGCCAACGGTTCTACACTTGTAAAAGCTCAGGCTCAGCACATCTGATGTGTGTGAAATGGGTGCTGAATCCAGTGGCATCTCCTAGATGTGGCTCCTTTGTGTTCGAGCTGTGCCACGGCTCCGTCACATCTCTGCTACAAATTAGCTTTTGTGATTTTTTTTACATTTTGTTTGGGCTGTAAATATCCCTGTTACAGAACTGCACATTTCCCTCTCCTTACTTTAAGAACTGCCCTTACAATAGCTTGCCAATGAACAAAGTTTTCAGGGAAAAAGTCCCTGGCTTGACTTGAATGTGCCTTTCTACATGTACATTTGGAGGCACTAATGTGCAGCTGGGGGCTGCCATACAGTATGTTTCACTGAAATATGAGCTGTTCTTAATCCAACTCTGGTGTTCTCTGTGTTACCATGATAAAATGAAAGACTTCTTATATTATTTGCTTTCACCGAGTTACTAAACTAAGCAATGGTGACCAAAATGTAAATATATGCTTTTAACAATATTAACTACATGTACCTTGGCTTCCATCTCAGCATCCAGTATGCCTCCTTTCTGTTCCTGCAGCAGGGCATAGGCTCGCTGTAAGGCCTGGTACTCCCTGGTCAGCTGACGGAAACGCAGCTCCGACTCCTCATTGGCTAGACCCTTGTTTGGCACAGGCAGGTTAGAGGTTAAATGCTATGGCTACACTGGGCTAATATAATGACAGGAAGTCAAGCAGTTAACTAAAACCAAGGACACTGATGTCAGTGTAAATAATCCAAAGGTGGAAGATGAACACTCTGCACTTCTTAGTGATGTGATGAACACGAGGCAGGCTCTCACCTCATTCAGGTCTTCATCAGGAGTAGCAGGAGTCCTGTCCATCCGGAACGAAGCCACTGAGGACGTTTCTGAGTCCATAGACTCCTCGTCATACCCAAAGTAGGTGTCTACTACTACGTGCCTCTGCAGAGAAAAAAGTTAAAAGACTTACAGATGTAACTATATCTGATGATAACTGTCAGTGATCACTATGCCTAGTTGGCTTTGTCCCCAATCTGGGGTTTCCCAGAAAGCTTTTACCTTTTGTCTTTTACATAACATACATCTGTGGCAGTGTGATTAGATCTTTGAACAGAGGTGAGTGTAGGTTTGTCATTACAGATGCATATTGTTCTTTACAAAAACCCAGGCACCTTTTATGCTCCTCAAGCTTACCACAGTTTTTAAAAGTGATGAAAGAATTCATCCAATGTTTTCAAAGAATACACTGACAAAATTTGCTTACTAGTTTACATAACAGTAACTATTGACAGCTTTCTACCTTTATTGGCCTCGAACTTCTTTTGTGCCTTTTCTTTCGTAGTAGCTTTTCTCGGTCCTAGAAAGAAGAGAAACACAATATAAACATCCTTCTTTTTCTACTTCTCCTGCCAAGTGAAATAAAGGAAACAGAAAGTACAGCGTACTCTTGTCAGTTCGTCGATCATGCTTTGCTGCTCAAGGACTTGAAGCTTGAGAAAGGCTATTTCCTGGTCATCGTGGGCTTGGTCCAGATCATTCAGAGACTTGAGCTTCTTCAGCGGAGGATGGGAGCTGATCTTCTCCTTCTACAAACACAGAGAGAGACAGAAAACCTTTGGTATTAGCCATCTGCCAATTATCTTTTACAAAATATATAGGATGCTAACGTGTGTTTGTGCTGACCATCTCAAGGTTCTCCTTGGCCAGGCTCTTGAGTTTGTCCTCCAGCTTCTGGATAGTCTGGGTCAGGTCATCATTCCTCTTATTCAGCAGTTTGTTCTTGTCCAGCAGGGGCTTGCACTGCTTTTCCGACTCCCTGACTCGCTTCAGCTGGTGAGCAGAAAGGGACAAAATGTTATATGAAATAGTGGCTGACATGAGGAAGGAGAAACGGACAATAAAGGAAAGGCAGAGGGAGAGCCTTCATTTTGAATTAAAAGAGTTTTAATTATACCAGCTCATTTCTCTCATCAACCAGCAGCGAGTTGCGGTCCTCCAGTTTGCGAATTGTTGAGTTTAGTTCAGCGATGCGCCTCTGATTTCTCCTCAGGTCCTGAAACAAACAAACAAAGAGAAAACAACGCCATTTCACTGATCCATTTACTGTCCAGATGCAAAGACAAATCCTCAAAATTGATTATAAAAATAGAAATAATCCGATGTTAAAAATCAAAATACATTCAATGAAATAACCACATCTGAAGGAGTCATGATACTTTTAATTTTAATGGGCAAGAACCTCATCAACCTCCTCCATAGGTCAACTCATCGCTACTCGTGACAACTGAAATGGTGGCTTTTAAAAGCTTTACGCCTTTTAAAAAGTCATTTCTCCTGGTCCTGACTCATTCTGAGCTGGACTTCATCAATAAAAACAGTCCTCATAATCTTGAACCTAATCCTTGTATATTGGCTACAAAGTGGCATTTAAAGGCCACAGCAAAGGAAAAGAGGAAACAGCTCAGAGTTTCTCTTAAATCAATACACTGACAGCAATTTTTCAAAAAAATGTGAGGAGAATGAAACATCTCCCAGGTCTTCCTGGCCCCTTACTGGGCTGCCACAGTGCTCTGCTCCATCTCCAGCTCTGCCTGGAATCTCTCGTTTTGGGCTTCCCAGGCCACACTCCGCCTCCTTGGCCAGAAACAGTTGTTCATCCAGTGCGTCCTTCTGAAGCTGCAGCCTTTGTAAGGACCCCGCCGTTGACTCCAGTTCCTTCTCCAGACTGAAGATGGTTCTGTCTTTAGATTTAATTTCATCCACCTATAGTGAAGGAGAAGGAAACATTATTCTATTATTGCTCGTCAGACAATATCAGCTCTACAACAGAAACGCAGCTGATGTGACTATTGTCCATGACACCAGTACTCAGTAATATTTTGAACATTATGATAAAGTAAGTTATTAAGTATTTACTGTAGTATTATAGTATTCACGAGCAGCATGTGTGTGTACCAGTCTGCGGATGTCCCTCTCACAGTCCCACTTGATCTTGGAGATCTGCTCCTGGTGCTGCTGGTGCTCCACCCGCAGGTCGCCAGCCTTCATCTTGTCGCTCTGGATCATGTTGCTGAGAGCCTCGTCGGTCTGTTTCTTAGCAGCCTTCAGCTCTGCTATCTCCTGTAGGAGCTTCACTCTCTCCTGGTCAAAGAAGCGACGTGCGTCCTCTTTAGCCTCCAGGGTCAGTGCCGTGCGCACCTGAATAAGCATGATGGTTTTGTGCATATTTATTTCCCAGTTGCAAAGTCTACATTCATCTCTGATCAAAACCCAACTTCACCCTATTTTAGCCCCACCTTCTCTCCGCTGCCATCCCGTATGGCACTCAGTGCCGCTTTGAGCCTCTGGTTCTCCTGGTCTTTGATTTTGGCGTGGCGGGCCAGCTCCTGCTCATGTTGCCGTGTCAGGTTCTCCCTGAGGGCCTGGAGCTCCTTTTGCTTTTCTTCGTGCCACTTGGCCCGCTGCTCTGTTAACATGGCAGTGTGACGGTGCTGCTCCTGCTCTCGTGCCCGCTTCACCTGCTGCACCTTGTCACGCTCCAGCTTGTTCACCTTCAAGAGAAGTGACAATAGAAGAGGAGAGAGGGATTAGGTTATGTTACACACTATATCCGAAGTCCTGCACCCACTACTGTCGTCCAAGTAGCTGTCTGCCATGGTCTCCCATGCTTGGCTGTCTTGAATCTGATACTCTGTAATAAATTAAGTTGTATTTGCACGTTTACAACGATCACAGTCTTGTTTTGCTTTATCTTTGACTTATGATGCAAAAACAAGGCTGAATCCAAATGCCCACCCTCCACACTTGCAGACCGAACCCTCACAGACTTCTGTACATACTGTGATATATGTTCACCCTCATCACATCAAGTAGCAGAGCACTGGGCCACGAGGGGATGCAGTGCGCTAAGACAGCACTTCAGACTTCCGTTGCCTCCATGGATATGAGCTGAAATTTCTGACCCTGTAACCCATTTCATTCCAAATTATTCAGCCTGTGCATATCCTGCACATACATGACTTTGTGACTAAATTTACACTGAACATGAACAAAAAGATCTGAAATATTCAGGGCCTTGTGTCTTGATGTTGTACACTACCTTGCATTTTTCTTGGTGTAGCTCAATCTGAATGTCAGTCAGCTTGGACCTGAGATCTTCATTGGCTGCCTGCAGGGCAGAGATGAGCGCTTCGGGCTTCTCGCCCTTCGTACGCCCTTTCTTTGCCATTGAGTCAAGTACTAGTGAGGTTCTTCTAATGCTTTCATTGAGACTTCACAATAACTTTCCGAGGCTCTCCCGCGGTTTCCAGGTCCTCTTCTTCCTCATTCTCCTTTCAGACAAAAGGGCTTGGGGATGGAGAAGAGACCGAGAGAGACAAACTGAGACATTACAAAGGTGATATCACTGAGCGTGTGTGAATTTCTCTACCATGTGTGTGTTTGTGTGAACAGGATGAGTTGAAAAGTGGCAATAGTGAAAGTGATTACCGATGCAGGTGAATGACATGAGATGACTGCTGCTTTTGATTCGCAGGTAGTATGTCGAGCCAATGTACCACAACAAGGTTTGGCTGAGCAGAAACAGAGGCCAATAATAACAATCATTTCTGAAGAAAACTATGTGGAAATACTAAGGAAAAAAAATGAAACAGTCGTGATAATAATGGCTGAGCACCACATCAGAAGAGTGTTTTTCAGAACAGCAGGCTGTCTGGGTATGCAGAGTCAGCGGTAATTGTTCCTGTCCTACTATTTGTCTCTTCGTGCACTGTTTGAGGTCGGCTGAAACCCAATGACCTGCTGGGTGTGGCACATAGGCACATCTCGGGCTTATACTCAAACATTAGAGCTCAGACTAAAACCTGACTATGTGATAGAGTGAACCAAAATCACTTGGGAGACCAGGAACACCGTAGTCTCCATGGGAAAACATTTTTATCTTTAGAATTTTTATTAAGCAGACTCTCTTTATCACTGACTTGTTTGAGGGCAAAGTTCAAAGTTGAATCATCCTTTTAAATTGCTGGGAACATACACGTACATGTCCAAAAAGCTGCCGTATTGCCAAACTTAAAAAAACTGATATGGCCAATGTGTTTCTTACGTAGACAGGCAGCAACGTCAGAACTTCATTTAGCCTTGTTACTGTCCACAGGATGAATGGAAATCCAACACTGACCTGACTTTTAGCTCTGATGTGCTCCTTTTCAAGTCCTGAGGCCACTTAGACTGACCTGTTGTGACCTTATAAAGTTAGGACTAACGTGTTAGGAAGAAATGGGCCTATTTACTGTACACATCCAGCAGACACCGAGTAAGCACTAATTTTAAATCATATTTGTGTCCACATGACAAATCTAAGTCCAGTATTTACTCTATTGTTACCATTAACTCCTGGAAAGAATCAGTGGATATTGGTGCTGAGCAAGTAGCATACAGCACAGTGGGTGTGTAAAACATCTGCTTACTGTAAAAGCAGGCTGCTGCTGGTGCAAACAAGGTGGATAAGACTGGTGAGACTGAACCACACAGTGAGAATGAAGTCCATAAAACCAAAAGCTGCAAAGTCAGGTGAAAATTCCCTGGGGGTTGTCAGCTGCAGCAACACTTTCAACATTACACACAGTCATTTGATTGATCAAACTGTGGATTAATGGGGTCTTAACAACCACTGGCTGGAAAACTCAAATCATTAAATAACACAAACTGCAAGGAAAGCAACTTAGCATGTGTAGGTAACTGTAGGAACAGAGCTAAAATTAAAAGTGCACTGCACATAGTTTGTCTGATTGTACTGAGGTCTTTAAAAGAAAAATCATGTAAAGATTATTGTTGGCCGATGGGCTTTTTAAAAAGACAAATGTGAGTGCATGCCAATGCTGAATTAGCAATCTTTTACATTAGGCTTGCCAAATCTGGCTCATTTACTGCAATTCCATTTTAATGTCATAAGAGAAATGGAAAGCCAGCTAGTACATTACATTCTGCATCGGTATCACACCACTAGATTCTTAGAGAAGTCCCATTCACTGTAAACTGGCACTTTCATGTAAACCTGAGAACATGTATGAGATGAGATTCAACACAACTGAGAATCTTCCATAAACAAGAGGCAAAGGTGAGAAGGATATTGGTTCCTCTTTGTTTTTCCACCATAAATCTCTCAACCTGGAACCAACATTTTCTATATGAGGACCTACTGCACCATCTGTTATTCATTACACAGTCAGACTGCGAGCCATACTTCACTTTGGGTTAAGCTGAGGATTAAAGAGAGGCCTTGGGGTTCGTATCAGGAGTTCAACTGTGTCGAGGATACCAGCAAGGCAAGACGAGAACGGCTCCTGGCAAATCTTAAAGAAATACATTTAGTATATTCAGTAGTGAAAAGGTCAAAGTCAGCACACAACTACATAAAACTTTAATAATGAATCCCATCCATAACAAGTCATCATGAACTTTCCATCATTAATTGAAAATCATTTTGACAGAACAGATCACAAGAGAGCAAGGGATGGTTGGTTCTACCTGGACAAATAAAGGGAAAAAGCCAAAGGACAAAGTGGCTCTTAATACTCTATGTAATCTGGTTATTAGTTATTTGATTTATTACATAAAAACTGAAGTCTGAAAGATATTGCATAAAGTACTGTGTGAGTCGTAGATAGTAATTTTTTGATGCCTCATTATTACAATAAGTTGTAGAAATATACATCTTTAATATTTAAATGCTTCTATTTAATTCCTGTCACAGTGCTGAAAGATACATCCTGAAATGATAAAAAGTCTGTAACAACCTTTCATTTTTCAAAACCTACTAAGTACAGTCTCAGTAAAACAGCATGAATGCTTCCTACATTTGTCCATGGGGCACGGATCTAAACATAGCCTAATGATTTCATGTGTCCACATTTTCTTAGCCGCTCAATCAGCAGGCACTTTTGGCTTAAGCCATCATCCTGTTGTGGTCTTTCTGGACTCTTTTTCTTTTCCCTAATCCAGGTTATGCAACTGAATTAAAAAATGTTAGTCAGACTGATGCCAGCGCTGCCCCAGTGTCAACAAGCAACTAAAGTTGAATCAGTCTGGAAGGTGTTTGTGACGTAAGCTGGTTCAGTGTCATCACACTGGCTGAAATCAAGCAGCGTCCTCCAGCTTGTTTTAGTTCAGGCCTAAAATGACTTCAAATCCATATGCCTGAGGTCGAAGCACCGACAGAGCTCTACTGATGCTGCAAACAGTGCAGGGAAAGTGCACAGATGTTCACATTTGCTTCATGGTTTTCACATCTCAAATTATTAATTTATGTATATGTGATCCAACAGACCTACTGTTTCTCACTGCCCGACCCCAGTGCCATTGTCTTTTAGTCCTTTACAGTCACTTTACCATTTGACCTTCATTAAAAATACATTTTACGACAGTAAGTTATGCAGTACTTACTCTGCTTTAATGCTTCAGTTGATTACATGAACAAGAGTGCCCACTGATGGCAGACCAACAGTAACACATGGAGCAGAACACATGAAGTAACATGATTTCTATAGTTAATCATATATTCCATTATTGTGACAATAGAGCTCAGACTGTGTCCACTTTTACACTTTATATTCTAACATTTCTGGAATTATAATGGTTCCTTTTGCTTCACTTTGTTCCCTTGGTGTTTACTACTGAATGACAAATATAATTCAGTCTAAGCTATTTGTGGCGGAGATCAGTCTACATCTGGGTTACAGCAATGTCACAAACAGCATCCCAGGGGGAGGCTGGAGGCGGGTATTGAATCAGGCCAGTGTGACACAGTGAGGCCACGAACCCCGTGCATCAGTGTGGAGGCCCTGGGGGCCCACTGTGCACTAGCATCCTCTCTGCAGCATCCTTTCAAAACACAGCCAGTCGGTTCTGACAACCTGACCAGCAGGAAAACGCACACACTGTGCCCCATACGCGCCGAACTTTGGCATTGTGAGCACCAACATCGACAGCTTTACGCGTCACTGCACCGCGAGCACGGCTAAAAAAGCCTGCACGGAAATAACCCGATGGATGACGCGCGATGCAGCGTGAGCATCCGTCGTGTGTAAGACGAGCCTGCATGGCGATGAACTACCCCCGTCATCTTTGAAGGGCTTGCTTGGTGCAGGCCAAGCTCTGCGACTTCCGACATGACATGCGGGCTAAACCAGTGCCACACGGCCAAATGGGACCAGTTTTCCGGTTTCCCGTCACCATCTACCACGGTGGTATCCGCCGTTTCAATGCCTGGATGCCTCTTTGAATCCAAGCTGCAGTGAAGTATAAACCAGTCCATGTATGTCGCCGAGCTGCCGAGGAGCTCAACCCGACTCAAACCAACAGGCCCGCTCGTCTGTAACTCCAGGTTTACACGATGTCAAACGTGACAGCAGCATATGTACAAACAGCTCTCTTGGCCTTACCTAGTAGTGGATCCTCATTGTGTGCAGAGTCCTATCTGTGCGAAATCGTGTCCATGGCATCCTCCTTGTTGTAGAAAAGGAAATCGCCCCCTACGATCTCAGCATCAGCAGCAGCCCGTACAATGAAGCAGCGATGGCCGTGGTGATGATGCTGGGAGCCCCGCCCTCCCAGTGCAGCCACAGTGAGCTCACTGGTTTCCAGTCCCGCCGCAGTCCACTCACAGGAAACAGCCATTTAACTGTGCACAAGGTTTCTTTCAGGTTCTGGGAATGCTAAAGGGAAGAGCTTCTGTTGTTGTCCTTACTGTTTTAGAACAGTTCTATGCTGCTAAATTCTCTAATTATTTGCTTCATCTCTTGCCTTTTTAGTTTCCACGTTAACAAAAATAAGGCAATAAATGAAAAAAGTGGGACTGTGTTCAAAACAAGGGTATTAAGATGAATGAACAGATAAAATGTGGCAAAAAGAAGAGTTCCCATTAAAAATCATTCTCATTCTTGCCTTGTAATATAAGAACCATGGCCCAATTTTAATTGCAAATCATTTTCACATTATCATATTTGTCTAACCCAGTGACCCACTCAACAACAGGGAAACTAGAAATAAGTTCACATACTACCTTCAATACCGCTGAATCTGCTTGATGTCTCTGAGGCAACCTGTCAAAACCTTTAGTGTTTATTGTGTGTGAATGGAGCATTTGAACAGTCGCTGGTAATTTAAGAAGCTGTTTGTTCAGAAATGATTTTTACCACTTTAAAGTCATCCCATCGCTCATTACATTTTCTCAGTGAAATTGCTTCAGGAACAATTCACGTCAAATCTTTGGGAACACTTGAGGCCACGCAGTCACAGGGAACAGAGAGCAACCCAAAATCATCAGAGGTGTGAACAAGAGGTGGTGTGACTCCAAATTACCCATAGGTGTGAATAGTTGTCTGGATTTCAAACTCAACTGCACTTAAACTGCAACACCTTACAACCAGCCACTGAGCTCCAGCAAAGGTTGTCATAGGAAAACAGATCCAGTCTGACAAATCACATGGGACAGAAGGACATTTTCAGAAAGAAAAAGGTGAATAAAAGACAAAACATTTTAATAAAAGATTGTTTATTGACTTGTCATTGTGTAGAAAGAGCACACAATGTAAAAACAGTGTAATAATTTAAACCCTACATAAATAAAAAAAAAAAAATGTCCTGGACATGATTTGGAGGAAATGTGTTTATCTGTCAGGTCTGAAGGGGTATAAAACACTTTGGATAATAAAGAATGAAATGAAAGAATATTAGTACAATGCTATTCTCAAAATAAAGCTGTTAGCAAAGAACGTGCAGTACTGTACTAAAGCCCATTTGTGTCTAAATGCCTTTTATTCTTTGTTTAAAATTACCAGCAGAAAAAGCTGTTTATATTAAGTTGCTTCCCAAAGCTCATAGCTTTACTGTGGATCCAAGGTGTTTTTGTAAACTCACATTTCTGATAGTTGGTAGCCACATTTTTCTTTTCTTTTCTTCTCAATGGAAGGTTTTGGCAGTGGAATCACATTTGAATCAAATTTTGTATTTGATTTTGGAAAACCAAGGCTGAACTGATGCAGGTTTGTGTTTATGTTTAGTAATCCTAATTACAGTACATCGATATTCTTTGATTTAATTCTTAACTTAATTGACTTACTTAGACAAGTCGGGGTGATGTGGAAATGCGTGACAGAGAACTGAACTGATTCTGGTAAGAAACATCCAGCCAGATCTCACATACCACTGTCATAACTTCCTCATAAAACATATGTTATTTGCGTAGAAAAGCTGAGGGAGTGTTATAAAATGTGTCTGTGTTGCATTGTTGCCAGAATTAAGGCACAATGTGTCTGTGTTGCATTGTTGCCAGAGTTAAGGCACAACAGTGTGTGTGTGTGTGTGTGCGCGCGTGTGTGTGTAAGTATGTTTGCGTGTTCTTCAGTCCACCTCTGTGAGGCCACAGGGTCTCCTGAACTCTTGTCCTCGTTCATGGATCCACTTGTTTGATACTTAAAAACAGAAAAAAAACAACAACATGAAGACCTAAAACCGACGAGCCGGTTAACTAATACCTGTGCACTAGAATAAAAGGCCGTCGACGTCTTTCATGTCAACGTGGTACGAGCGCTCCCCTAGTACAGTTTAGTACATTTGTCATTTTACCAAATGTTGTGGTCTAAATTAATGATTCGAACCAAGCTGTCATTAAAACTAAGAAAATGTGTTTGTCATTTTTGTTTTATGTAATAGACGACAGTGGAATACCACACTGGTATGTACAGTTTATACTAGAATACTGCTATTAGAGTATTACTGTATAATACTGATTTCAGAGGTATTGCCCAGCCCTAAATTGTGGCGTGGAGTTTCTTCTTACCAAGTAATACACATTTATTGGCTGAATTTCAGTCATAATAAAGCTGTTTTCTAATCTCAGCGAATCAGCACCTAAATGTGATGAATCTAAACATTGACTCACCCCATTTACTTCCTACTAAGACCGGACATGCTGCATGCCTAGTTCTGTAGTCTCCCTCCCCACTCCTGAACAGATTATACCAGAACACCGCCGTCCCCTGTGGAGAAATCAGAATAATGAAACAGATGAAGGTTAACATCCAGTCTGCAAAAGAGAGAAGGATCCAGTACACAATGGGCCTCATTTGCAAACGGCGCATACGCTCAAATCTGTGCTTAATAAACCATGCATATGAAAAATTTGTACACAATTCTGGGAATTATCAATATGCTTTAAATTTAAAACTGGCTGGTGTGCATGTTTCATGCATCTGACTGTAACTTTGTGTGTAAACTTGTTTTATGCACAGGCTGAGCACATTTCTACATACATAGGACTGAATGATACACACAGTGAACTAAAACTTTGCTCCACACATACTGTTGTTCTCACCTTTCTGGGCCAGATTGCTGCTCCAAAGTCAGGGAAGACCGTAGCGCCGCCCGCCTCGACATCACTCATCTAAAACAAAAACCAAACTGGTTGGAAACTTTCTCCGTGTCTCACACAGGCGTTCAGTGCTCAAAGAATCCTCCTTCTTGTAACGTGTTTCATCAAAAAACTAAATATCCTCTGGGCCACTGCAGTTATTGCAACGTTACTTCTTCCGCAATGTTTTGATACAAAAACTTTAAAGAATTATCATATTTATGTAAAAGTATTTGGTGCTTCCTGACAATAGTTTCCCTATAGGAATCAAGGATTTCACTGTATTCTGTCCCTGTCCTGTTCAACTGTTATGAGCTGTCCATACCATGTGTTTAACCTAAAACGTCTTTATTCAGAGTTTTATATTTACCAGATACTGACTGTAAAACACATCCACAACATGCAGTGAATGCTGAAAGTCAGTGTAAGGATGCAGGAAAAATGACTCCTCGATTACATTCATTTAAAAAGTCAATTTGATCTGTTTTTGTTTAGGACTATATTCTGTCCAACCCGTTGTGTTAGCAGGGGTAAAAGTGTGGCTTCTAAACCAGCATGTTAATGGGGAGCGGCCAACAAAACTCTCCACAATATGTACTGGAACTGATTGACAGAAAAACGTTGGTCTCAGATATTTGTCTCCAAAGTGTCTCAGTCATCCAGGTGATAGGATATTTATCCAGCGCCATTTTTGGGGGATTCTCTCCCCAGAATGTGTAGAAAGAATACAGCCTCTTGTTCTAGTACTTTGAGTAATTCTAGGCTTCAGACCACAGGAGTGTGATGCCAATGAAAGTCAATCAATCCAAGTCCAAGATTGAACCAGAGCTTATGCTTATGCCCATAAAGCTAAAACAAACAAAGGATGGAGCGTGGATTTCAGTTTGCCACCACTACGGGCCTTCAATCTACGGCGACTGGATGCAAGTACTTACGTAATTCAAAAAAGTTGCCAAACGATTTCCAGTGCCTAATCTTTTGAAAGCATCAGGCTCGTCTTTCTATAAAGATAAAATTCAAGAGTGAAAATACATGATGTAAACGCTGCACACGCACGTACTTACGTAGTTTAGGAAGGTAGCGAGTCTATTTCCGTCGACCTTGAGGTTGCTGTCAAAAGGACGCTGCAACAGATGTTAATAATGTTTAACCCATCGCCAGAAAGACTTGCACTAGGAGCCTGCCACCAAGGCCACTAACTACACTCAGATTAAAAAAAAAATCTGTCAGAAACATTACTGAATCACAACTGAACTGTGGGTTTCCTTTGAGCTAAAAATAATAGCTTCAGATTATATGCTTAATATAAGGCACATAAAGATAAAATGAAGCACTTTAATTTGTAGTAACAAAGAGAAACTAATTTAAAAAAACTCTCATATCTTTCAGGGTTATCCACAGAGGACAATTACCACAAATAATAGTTATGATATTGAAAGGTTTTTCCACAATGACCCCTTATATATAATAAATACCAGAAATAACACACAGTGAGAATACAGGACGTCCTAAAACTGCCCTAAAGTCCTGTCTGTCAGGTCAGAAGTGTTGTCCAGTCATGCTGCCTCCTACTGAGGCTCTCTCTGTTCTTGATAGGGTCTGCTGCGACTCAGTGTATCGAGGGTTAAGCCAAAGAAACAGAAAAGAAATCTTACGCCTTCAGTTTGTATATAGAAGTCAGGGGCATCTAAGACTAAAGGAAAAGTGGGAAGCCTGCCATTTATATTTTAATACGATCAAGTGAACTCACCCTGGAGAAGTCAAAATGTGGCTCGTACTGTCCTCCAATTCCATAGTTAGCAACCTGATGAGCCACGGACAAAGGCAATTTAGGTAAAAACCAAAAACCTCTATTTACACATTTAGTTCTGTTGTTTCAGACACACTGGTCCTAGTCTGTCTAGACTACTTTCATTATTATGATTAGCATGAAAACAACTTTCATTTAGAAAAAACTGATTTGACACGATGATGTAGTAATTAGAAGTAAACCAGTAGTGTTACAATACCTGTAATAACTCTGCTGTTTCCACTGTAAGGCCTGTGATGTCTTCTATTCTCTGATCGACTCTGGCAATGACGGGGTCCTCCTCTCCTTCCAACCACGCACTGACAAGAATAACATGTACAATACATATAGATTGTGTACACACACACTTCAGGGGACATTACATTGCCTTACATTCATTGATGTACTTATATTTTTCATTGCAACACAAAATAGCGTGTTAATAAAACAGGACAGAACATGGAAGACAAGACAACAGATACAGCAAATTAGAAAATAGACACTAATACTAGGCCACTACATTTGGAATGTCTTTATAATGCAAAAGGTAATAATAATAAATAAAAACAGCTGACAAAGAGCGCTAACCATGTATTAGTATTAATGAATATTTCTGATGAAACATACCTTTGTGATACTCTGTAGTTGGCTGTGGTCAGGACGCCTGTTTTGGGGTCACGGACAGTTGCTCTGGCCAGCTAAAAAAAAACAAAACAAAACACAACCATACACATAATAAATACACATAGTGTTGTTTGGACAGTTATGATGTCCTAGTTCGTCACAAGACTGTCAGTGGGCACACGATTTCAACTGTCAGCACAGAAGATATTCAGCTCTTTGAATGCACTTTGGAAGACAAGACAAATTACATTTTGAGCACAGCTTGAGATGTAGAGAGACAGAATTTGAAGCAAGGTAAACATGCCTGGTTAAAAATAAAACACTCATCAACAAGGCTATGACTGTAAAGACAATTCCATTCATATAAAGTACAGGTGTTGATAAGCTTCATGAGTACATCATCATTATCTACTAAAAAGTAACATTAATGTCTTTAATTTTGTTTTGAATCCAGTGTCAAGTGGAGATTTTTATATCTATCATTATTTATTTATTGCTTCTTGTCTCACCCTGGGTTTAGCCAGCTCCTTAATCTTCTTAATCTCCTCATGTGACAGTATGTCCAAGTAGCGTACGATGTGGGGGCTGTCCCACTCATCCTCCTCCTTAATGGGCTTACGCAGGAGAAGAGGGGTCCTCTTTTTTTTAGCGGCAGAACAAACGGCTGCGCCTTGCGTCATTCTGGTGAAATGTATAAACATTATGACCGGTACGAAGAGCAGATGAGAAAAATGATGGCAAAGAACACATACAGTACATGTCCATCTTATTATTGATTATTGATTGACTGACTGAAGTCAAACATGATTTTACTGTTATTTGTTGGTTTTATGTGTTGGCATCAGTGTAATGCAGGATGTTGTTTAGTGCTAATACAGTTTTCATCTGAAACTGTTTGTATACTGCTTATACAACATTACATGGCTTGATATTCTCTTCATGTCTCACCATTTGGAGCCCCTCTCCTCTGCAAAGGGCCTCATAGGCCTCTCTCTCTGGGAGATGGTCTTTAGGTCTGCTGTAGGTTCCCAGCTGGATGGGCTCCTCAGACGCAGGCTGGTAAGCCTGGTTCAGCTCATTCAGCTGCTTGGACAGTAACCGCTCAAAATATCGGAGGTTTCCTCCTGCCCTCTGGTGGCTGGGGTCTGTCAGTACAAGAAGAACTGGCCAGTGGGTCAAGTCTCAGCTGAGTAATACTGCATTAAACTGCTTTGCTGTTTGCTGATATCATAAATGAAAACAGGTTAGCACTCCTAATTAACAGAAATTGGTTAAATTAAAGTATCCTCTAAACCTTGATGTCTACCTCTGCAGCTTCAGCTTGTTGAAACATCATTTACGTTAATGACTAACGGTCTCCATGGACTTCAGCTTCACTTAACTCAATCTTCAGTGGTGGAAAGTACAGTAGGTACTTTTACTGAAGTACATGAGTATGCTACTTCAATGACCAACTCTCTACAGTTCAGAGGAAAATGCTGTACTGGGGTTATTTAACAGTTTTAAACATTATTTAGTTTTCAGATGAATAAAAAAAAAAAACATTTGGTCAACTTACACAATATAATGTGCTGACAATAGTTAAAAGTACCAGATAGTATATGATGTAGTTAAAATTAGTACCAGTTGTTTTACTTTATTATTATTACACTCAGACTTTTTCTATGAAACCATCTTATTTACCCCATTCATCTTTATTCTTATACTTCTAGAAGTTGGTTGGTGTTTGAGATACTAAAGCTGGATAAAGGAAGGAGCAAGCCCCCTTGTGATGTGTGCAGGAACTACATCAGATCCTCAGCAGAGGATTTACAGCAACATCTTGAGCGTCCTTCCTTGCCTACTTTGCCTCATCCACTCCTTCCTTTTTCTTTCATGTTCACTTCATTCTATAACTTATATAATATAAGTAGTTATATAAGTTATAGAATAATTATATAACCACTGTACATCCTTTACCATTTCAGTTTTCTTTTTTCTAAAGCTATAAACTGTTCTAAGTACATTGTCAACATTCATAACGTTATGTTTATAGCACTAAATGGCACAAAGTGAGTCTACATCTGCTCTACTTCATTTCACATGAAAACGAGCATACCACAGCTCTAAAAAGATGGCCTGCGGTGGTCAACTCAGCCCTGGATGCACTAAAATAACAGTCTGAGCCCACTGGCTCTTACTGTGGTTAGACTACACCCTGCTGCTCTTGCAAGCACAGGACACCACTGCAGTGAGAGAAGGGGCGACCGTGATTAACGAAACTAAAAAGACAACCCATCAATTACACCACTGTAGAGGACTGGTTGTACTGGTCAGCTAACTGGTGGCTTGGTGTGTTATGAGAGGGAACTGGAAAACATCAGCAGTGCTCCTTAATTACATGTTAAATGTGCTGTTTTAGTTTTTCAAAGACTGACATCATGAACCCAGTCACCCTAATACTCATGGTATAAAGAAAAGAAACGAGGCTCATGCCGACACCAGTGACTGTCAGATTATTTGTGTGCATACAATATCCTCTGTGTTTGCTTATGCTGCACCTTACCGATAGCCACCAGGCGGCGTGTCAGCTCTATGGCTCGAGGCAGGTCTTCCATTTGGTACACAGAGTAGCTGAGATAGTCCAAAATGTCAGCTTTGGAAACCACCGCTTCCTCCCCGGCATCCAGCTGCTTCAAGGACTGCTGCATCCATAGCACAGCATGATAGTAGTCTGCGTCATTATACGCCGTCTTCCCCATGTCGAAGCAGTCGTCCACCGTCAGTATGGCATTGGAGTGCACACCTGGGGCAGGATTCACTGAATTTAAACACTGACCTTGAGCTACTGTGATTCTAATGACCAAAAACAAACTAATTTTCTTTTTATGATATATCAATTATTATTTATTCATCATTTTTCACTTTAGTGAAACCTTCCTGGGTTATGAACAAACAGTTGGGGTTTGTCTGGCAACAGCCAGGGCCGGAGTCATTATGTTTTCAGGTCCGTCCATTTGTACGGCCCATTCTCGTGAACGCAATCAATTTTGGCACACGTGTTGACTTGGACTCAAGAATGAACTGAGGTTTTGGTGGTCAAAGGTCTTATGTTTTTGTTACACAGTCAGTGAACACTGCTTGGTTACCTGGCAGCTTTCCTTTGGCGAAGGCCTCAGAATCCAGCTGGTATGTGTCCTGAAGACGCATCAGTGCCTTGGCTGCGCCCGTTTCATCCTCTTCATTTGGGAAATACTGTCTGTGCATGGACATGTTGGAAATGAACCCTGAGGGAAAAGTAAGGAAAGGTTCAGATGCAAAAGATGTTAAGAGAATGAAAAAAATGGGACTGAAATTGTAAGTGAACTAATGAATAACCAACGGATGACACCGAGCATGTCAGCAACCTCAGGCTAAAGGTATTTATAGCAATAAATATATATTAAACTCATGGAACTAAATACATATCCCTCACATTTCCTGATTTTTTTTAAATAATCAAAACCCAGTTTTGCTACTTTTATTCACTGAATGATCAAATAAAATAAAAAAAATGCTGCGTTCTACTGGATAACCAGTATCTGTAAATCACACGAGGCCATGTTCATATATAGTCCATGCACACAAAGGGGTCTTAGAAGGTGTGGCTGAATTCCTGGATTGAAAACAAACAGAGGTATTAAGCTCCACACCTTCTATTCCCTTTACTTTAAATAACACATTTTCCCAAAATGTTCCCAAATGTTCATCATTTTTCTTACAGTGAAATGATACAGCTTTTATTTGATGAGATTTAAACTTCAACTTCAAATCACCCCTTTGCCTCTACAGGGCTTTTGTTTTTACAGTTTTCCTCTTTGTCTTCCTCTCTCACTGTGTTTCAATGTGTTGGCAGCAAAAATTGAAATGTAAACAAAGGTAACAATGGTTTGTCTGCCAAAAAGTTGCCAACATTTTTTAGGCTTTCAGACTTATAACCTACAGTCAGCACAGCCTTTCCTGCTACAGCAGTCCCAGACTTTCTGTAAATAATTAAGAGTCTCTGTACTGACCCTCAGACTGATGTCCAAGTGACCAGTGTTAGTATTCCCCTAATCCCTCTACCCAGGGTCTATATCAGTCTCTGTGTCTCTGACTCATGGCCACGTCTACAGATTCACTCGCTGAATGACACACATTTCATACTCATGCTCAGTTTATCTGCTACACATAGCTTTGGACCTTCGCCTAAACATGCACAGACTTTCAGGTCCAAACACACACACACGAAGAGAGAACATGGCCAAAATATGTGGAGATGAGGAACAGCTGCAGCTGCAACATGACATGCCTCTCCACAGCACTGCAGTCAGAACTGGAATCACTCTGCTCATATCCACTCTGGACTTTTTTTTATTCATTGCTGACCACTTGACTTGTAAAACAGAGACTCAAAAATACCGCAGCTGTCAAGTTTATGCCAATAAAACAAGACCAAAATCTGTACCTTGCCCTACCTGAATACAGCTTATTCAATGGAAACATCAATGCTCCTAGTAAAGCTAAATCACAACTCACTTGCCTAGTCTACCATCGCTCACATACTGTCTGGGTGGACTTCCTTACCATCAGAGGGCTTCTGGAGCACCAGGCTCTCCAGCTCAGACCACTCTGTGTTGAGCCTCTTCATCAGTTTGTAGGCGTTTACTGGATGGGCGAGGTAGCCCTCTGGGTCCGAGGTGGACACTCTGGTCAGGGCATCCAGTTTGTTGGCCCAGCTAAGAGACAGACAGACAAAGTGTTGTTACTACAACACACACACAAAAAAAATCACTCTTTGATGTAAAACTGTTCATTCACACCTGAAACCAGCGTCCTGAGCAGACTCTGGGATCACAAGCCGACCTTTTGGGCTTAATCTTCACTGCAGTGTCTTTTTTTTTATGTAAAACCCTAATCTGCAAAGGAACTCGCAGTAGCTGTCAAATGATTGTAATAGAACAGAAAGCATGTGATTTCCCCCTGGGATGTAGTGGAGTAGAGGAGTTAAGTGAATATACTCAAAGTGAAAGCACCTCTAAAGTGTACCATAGTTGTACTTGTACTGCACGTTTCACTGTAGGCCACAAGGTCCAGAGTGTACCTTTTAACAGCAGCAAGCTTGGCCTCCTCTGCTTTGATGTACTCTCGTAGAGACTGGACCAGCTCCTTTTCTGTGAAGACCAGGTCTGTCATTTGGCCTGTGGAGACAGACAGATACTGTAGATGAGCGAGAAGTGTCGCTGACGAATTCAGAATTCAAGCTTACACTTTTTACTATTTCCCATCTAATACTGCAAGTTTCAAATTTAAAGCTTCATTTTATATCTGAACAATTAATGAGAACTTTCACGCAAGTTGCTTTTTGCTTTAAAAACTAAAATGTATTTCTGGTACATCTCTTTTCCTCAGACCCAGGGTGTGGTAAAAAGAAATCCTTAGCCACAAACTGTGATTGTATACAATTACTCAGCAAACTACATGGGGGGGTGTACATCCATGAAGCTCTGAGGACATGGTTGGGTGTAGTGTAAACAGTCTACATTTTAATGGACATGCTCAATCACAGGGAGGAGGAATGATGAAACCCTGTCATTGTTTCTGCATGAAACCCAGTGTAACTGAACAACCAAGGGCAATAAATCAGTGACTGTTTAACTTATGAGATACAGCCTGTTCACTGACGTGATGCTCTTCTCACTTAACAGATGAACGAAGGTAAGCAAACACTGTTTAATGGGGTTTAAGTAGGAACAAGATATCGTAACCTCATCTGCAGAAATTATGTCTTTAAGCACTGCACACCAGGTTTCACAGGCTTGAAAAAAGCCACCAGAGGACCACAGTTATTTGTCTAAAAAAATATTGAAGTCACCTTAAAATAACCTCAGACTTTACTGGCCATTCCCTCGTTCTTATGTCTACATAAAGACATGCATTTCTAAACTCAATGCTTTTGTCTACATGTGCATGCACCTCTATTCAAAGCAGCTGCAACAGAAAACAACAAAAGTGGCTGCAATTCAGGGATTCAGCACATATAATAATAGCAAAATATTGGTCTAAATGTCTGATGCATTTGTGGGGAACTGATTGAAAAATGCTTCCACAACCGACTAAATGAAAGCAGACTAAGTGTTAACTGTCATTAGAGAAGATAAGAAGGAGAAAAACTGCTGTGGCCACCCCTAACAGGGGCAGCTCAGAAAAATGTCCTGTGGATGTGAGAACTCACCGATAGAGGTGAAGACCTCGGCCTGTGCGATCCAACAGCAGGAGCAGAGCAGGGCCCAGGAGATGAAAAACTGAGACTTCCTCATTCTGTCTCTTTCAATAACCTGCAAAGACAAACATAACCGCTCCATGTCAATGAAGATGCACCCAGTCATGAAACAAGATACTCCTGTAGAGCAAAACAACAGATTACTCTTCATCAGAGCACTGAACAAAGCTTATTAAGCATGTAGAGATTTTTAAGTATGTGTTTATTTTTGCATCTAGATCCCTGAGACAAGCTGTGGAAGCTTTAACCTTATTTCATACTGTGTACACCCACATTTGACATTATGCTTTGCTTTCAGATCAGCCACTAAAGGCTGACAAACTATATTTGGATCACACAATTGTCCTTATTCTTAAGTGACACATATAAAATAAGCAGGTGTTTTGAATTACCCTGAGTCAACAGTGTGTTTCCGTACTGTCAGCTGATGGTCTAACAATATTCAAAGTTTCCAGTACGTTTCCTATAAATGAATGACTAATGCCTGCTGGGAGACATGCTGTCATGCCAGCCTCTAGGGCCAGTTCCTATTATTAAAGACAAAAGGTTTTGTGTAAATGTATTTAAACATTCTGTATCTCCACTGCTGTGTACATGCATCCTTCACCTTGCAGATGCAGCCATAAGAACCACTTTCATGCAATAAAAAAAAAAAAATCACAAAGCGAAATGTCTGAGCATCTGGTTGATTAAAGGCCAGGTTTAAGATTTAAGGTTGATTTGCTTGTCATTTGCTCTGGAGTTCAACATGGCCACCAGATGTCTGAGTAAAAACATTCATGACTAACACCACGATGAAATAAAGCTCAGCGTCGTTGTAAACAGAGTTATAAACCAGAGCTTGCAGTGCAGAATCTCACTGGAAACTAGATGTCAAAATGTTAATATCAGTCCTAGTACATCAGGCCGTTGCCAACATTCATGTGAGTATTATCTGGGGCGAAAGCAACATGAGCTGTGGGAACTTCCAGCTACTGCAGAGCCAACAAAGGGCCGAAAAAGCAGGAGCAGCCACTGATACATCGCCTGTCAGAAACGACCTGCTCACAGTGCCGCGCTGAGAGCAGCTTTGTCAGTGAATACAGGTGAAAAGTGACACCGCCCCACTTTCTCCTCTTGGATTTGGTCTCTTTCAGTTTCACCACATCACAGTAATGACTGCTCACTGGTGCCTACGTGCACATACACACACATCCATACTTTCAAATGCAAACACACACATGCATCTGTCTTCACCAGTGTCTAATCAAAGGCTTACTGCAGCAAGACAGTCAATCTGAGGCAGAAAAGTGGCACCTGGTGAGGAATCTGCCCCAGGTGAAAAAGACCTCATTCCCCTTACATGACATCTGCTGACAAAATACAAGCCATCTTCTATTGTTGTCACAATATGTTAGGACAAACGTAATCCATTAATCAGAAGCATTGAGTTGAGCCTGGAGACACTGAGACACCATATTAGTGTCAGAACAAGACAAACTGTCAGTGTACATGACAATGACATTATCAGCGGTCAGTGGATCCTTTGTAAAATCCTCTGCAAAACAAAAACAGAGGAAGTTAGAGGTTGGTTTATTTGTGACAGTATACTGAGACAGCATACTGCTTTCACTGTATACCATGGTATGAAAATGAACAGTTATTATATCATGCACATTTGTTTATTACCAGTATTGAAGGAAAAAAACACAATGGATGAAGCTGTGATATTATCGGAGATTGCTATGTTACTGTGAAAATCTCATACTGCTGCAACCCTATTTGTGACAAATAGATCCTTTTAATGAGGCAAACATCCAGGACAACCACGCCACATGGTACCAACCAACAGTAGGTATTATTAGCAAAAGGCTGTGAAATGGCAAGTCACAGTGAATCCTAATTCCGCTATCCATTCTGCTTCAGTCCTGCAAGTCTCCTATGAAAACAGGGTGTTAAAAAACCAGTCTCATAAATGTTAAGAAGGAATGGGAAAAGTCAGAAAACTTCATTAGATCAACAAACCTGCTGCCTACCATAAAGAAACATCTCATTTTCTTTGACTAACACATTTCTTAAGGGTCAGTTAGAGCAACCACACCACATACCTTCAGGATGTCGGTGCCTGTATAGCAAATATTTCAGAATATGACTGGACCGAGGTCACAGAGCAACACAGAGAGTATTTAGCATTACGTGAGCTAGAAGTAAAAGCATATATTCATTGTTATCAGCACAGAACAGAACGTTTCTTTTACCAAACTGCTTTTGAACTGACTGTACAACAGGACAGCTGAAAAAACACCACAAATTTCATTTTAATGTCTGTTCACCCTCAGATTTGACCTTACTAGGTATTCTTACTAGTACAAACTAAGCTTCCAGTGTGTTAACTACTGAAGGAATGCGTTTTGTTTGCTCAGCAAGTAAGAGAACTACAGTAGTACCATATTCTGACACTTCAACAAATCTTTCTAATTGCAATTTACAGCCAGTGCAGTTCCCCAGTCCAAACGCTTGTCCTGCCTGTTGTTGCAGACTAACACCCATGTCACACTCCCGGATGGGGTGGGGGTGGGGGCTTGATACGTTTATTGTGCAACCTTCCCAGGTCCTGACCTTGGCCTGGCATTTCTGGCAAGCACAGAGTACTTTTTTTTTTTTTTAAGACAGAGCTGTGGTTCTGATGAAACACACACACACAAAAACACACTCTCTGGCAAGGCAGACAGGATCCAAGGTCTGTGATGGACCAAGGGTTTCTGAAGTGCACAAGTTTACTCAGAGAGTGAAATCCCCACCATCTGCACTTGTCTTGTTCCTCCTGTTCTCCTGGACCTGACACGGCAAGAAACCCAGAGAGAAAAAACGGGCTGGTCTGAGCAGCAGCTGTCTTTGGTCACACAAGTGCCAAGTGGGGGAGTTGTGGAAACAAGATAAGCTGATTAACGTTCTCACTCATCCTTTCTTTCGGGACAATTTGAAAAATACTGTTTGATAAGAAATGAAAACAAGAGCAATGCCAAACTATATTGGTGCTGATGTGAGTAGGAGAGTCTCATCAAGACAGCTGGAGGAATAGCAGTACTGCTGCAAAAGGCCTATTCCTTAGTTGTTTTAAAGCCTCTAATAGTTGTCAGAAATGTGTTTCTGCATTATGTCCACAGAATATACTGTAGGAAGTGGAACAGAAAGAAAGAAAGGACGAAGATGAGGCTGAGCCATATGAAAAAGGAAACGACTGAGGAGATATTGAACTGCAGCCATAAACCTCAAAGCTAAATTCAATGCTATCAAATGGATAACAGGTTAACAAAACTTTAAATAATCCTGCAAACCTCAAAGTGGTTCCCAAAACAAAATATGGAACCATTTAACTCACTAAGCTGATGTAGCCAGACTTTCATCTGCACCCCACCGCCTCTTTGCAAAGCTCTTCACAAAGCGTGCACACACCCTGCATGGCGGCTTTTCTTGCTTGCAGAGGTGCTGTGGCAGTTCACACTGTTTCTACATCACATATTGGCAGCAAAGACCAAATTCCAGTATAGTGATCAAGCTAACAGAGAAGGAGAGAGCAGCCTGCTGCAATATGTGGATGGAGAATGGGAGAATGGGAGCTACGTACCAGAAAACCAAACTTGCATGTGGGTAGATAACAATATGTTCGTCTCAGACTACAAGCACCTAAAATCAAATCTTTGGCTCTGCTAACAGACCAGTAAAAATCTGATTATTTATTTGATAAGACAAAGACTGTCCTGATTGGTTGTTCCCTGCACAGGCTAAGTCAAACTAAGTGCACTTTCACTTCCCTCCACATTACATAAGTGGAGAATAAAGAACTTTTTTTTTCTAGTTTGGAAGCAATTTTGCAACTTTACAAAGCCAGCCACAAAAAACAGAAATGTTACTTGGCACAACTATGGCGTTTTAGTCTCTGAGACAACAGAAGTGAGTATGTCCAAGTCAACTCTATACACTAAACAATATCAGGAAGGAAAGACAGTGCAGAAAAACCTCTGAGTCAGTATTAAAAACGCCCTCTCCAAGATTTCTGTTGACCATATGTGGCTGACATTAAGTAAATTAGATTCATATGCAATGAGAGCTTAAAAATTCATGTTATACGTACAACCAAAAAAAGATTCTGTATTTCCATAAGTGGGGTAAAACTATGGAATAATTTAAATGCGGACATAAAAAATGTGATGAGTTTAAACATGAATATAAAGGTATGTGTCAATCAAGATATATGCAAGAACAGGCTTAATGATTAATTAGATGGAACATTGTGGGTGTGGTGTATGAATGTTAACACTCTGTAATAATTCTTTAGTATATTACTTATGTGGTGTAGAAGAGAATTATTTAAGAATGCAATTATGTAAGAATGTTAACACTGTTATAATTTTTTAGTATATTACTTGTGTGGTGTAGAAGAGAATCATTTACTGCTTCCAAACCAATGATGGTAAGATGATGTCATGGGGTAGGACTGGATAAGTCTGACTTCTTCCTACTCCATTCAAGCATGTACTAGGTATAAGTAAATTGATATTGGATTATTATTGTTGGATATGTGTGAAATTACACGTGTGGTGACATACAACTGTTTTACATGCTTGAATGAATAAATCAAATCAAATCAAATCAAATCAAATCAAAAACAGCCAGAGCGTTACTAAAAACAGCTTCAGTTTTACTTGGAGGGACAAGCATCACAACGTGGCAGCTGGACTGTGCTAACACCAGGAGACAGGCTGATCTCTGCCTGGTGGAAGAGCTCATTAGTGCCACAGGGTCACCGTTCATGTCGGAGAGAGAGATGAGCAAACACAGGCTTTATCATGCAGCACACAAACGCAACATCCACTTCCAAAAACCTTTCCTGGTATGTAAACACTAAAGGCTGAAACAAATGATGTTTAATAAAAAAGACAAATATTTTATTAAATATTCATCACCCACACTTATGAAAAAAAAACTAGACACTGGCTGCAACTGGAACAGGCGCTGAGGAGGGCGAGCAGCGGACAGGGCAGCCCAGTTACTCCAAATGAGCTATGTATAAATCACTGCAGGGCATCACTCACCTGGCACATTATACTGAGTGTACAGTGATATGTGGTACTGTTTGCCAAGGGTGGGTGTGTTTTTCAGAGCTTTTTATATGCAACCTAACCTTTTAATCCCGATGAGCCACTAGTTGCTCATCAGATACTTTGAACGCATTTAAATTTTAAGTTCAAGAGCAGAAATAATTAGAGAATTCACCTCTAGTTGATGGAGAGAAAATGAATTTGCCCCTATTATGATCATTAATCTTCATTAATCTTTTCTAACAGAACTAACAATTAGAGTTAGACAGCATTAGTTGCAACCCCTGCAGATACCCATGCAAATCATAACATTTGATGGTTCTGTTATCTCAAATGGGAGAATTTGTTGCACTTTAAATTTTTGGAGCTGCAGGATGTTATGATGGACATTTTCCATCCATGGTGTTTTATTGATAATCGATCAATCGACAGACTAATAAACAATTAAAACAATGATTAGTTGCAGCCCTAGAGATGTTTATCTCTGAGTTTTAATATTTTAGAAAATCATCAGCAACTTATTTTCCTGAGACAGTATCCTTGTTACTCAGGATCTTACTGCGGACACATTTTCTCTTGAAATTATTTATTAGGTAGAAAAAGGTTTTTAATTTGTGTGTAAAACGACAGTTTATGACGAAGAACAGCCTAAACCTGGCTTTTTAGCGGTTGCAGATGGGTCGCACTGAGCCTGCTGCTCATCCTCTCCAGCCTGGTGACGTCAGCCCAGCTGTTTCTAGAAATTCCCATCACTTTCCCGAGTCAGTGTCCCGATGCCATGCGTGTGTACATTTAGATTTACTGCACCAAAATTCAAAGATTCGTGTCACGACCCGTGGTTTGAGTAAGTGTGTAATAAACAGCGCAATGTGGGCAAAACTGTCTGAGAAGCTCGGCTACAAAGTTTGCGCAAAGTTTCAAAACTTTCTCCCGAGTCGCTGTAACACACTGTACCCTGACTGGTGCCCCAGACTCGCGTTACAATGTTTCCTAGGACATACAATCATGTCGGGAACAAACACAAGCCTCATTAACACACCAGTCGTTGCTGCTTTACCCCAATGTTACTACAAATGGGTCCAGTATCACCTGGTTCACCCTCGGACAAAAATAACCTGTTGGACCCAGCTGCTGGCACCAGCTCAGCATGTTCGAAAGACATGCGAGCTCAGCGAATCAGCCCCTTTCAGTGATGTAGGAAATACCTTCTCTAGCTATCTAGATACAATGTTTACTGTTGTCTTACCTTTAGATTTTACAGATTAACGTCACACTTTGGTACACAGATGGAATCTCACCTCACCTCGGGGTTGTGAACAGAACAGAGAGGAGTTGTAGGGGCTGCCACGTACGGATCCTCCTGGAAGCTTGACTTTAATACGTAGAGTAGCTGCGCAGGGACATTCCTGTCGAATTTTGTTATGTTGCATTCATGATCACCTCGTAAGTTCCGCTTTCAGAACTTCAGGTTATACAGTACATTTGAGTTTTTTACTCTAATAAGAAAAAAAATGTTGCAATATATTTTAAACTACAAGTTTAGTTGTAATCCAACCATTAATACATTTGACTTTTTTACTCTAATAAGAAAAAAAATGTTGTAATATATTTTAAACTACTTGTAATTCAACCATTAATACTTGAGAACAATTTTATAAGTTTACAATTTTCAGGTGCTTCAATCAGCACCCATTAATTTTTCTGATTATCCTGCAAATTTCCTTTTGTTTTGTTACTTGCTAAAATGCTTATTGTGTGGAATGTTATTTGTGAAACAACACAAAAATCACAGAGTTAATAACGTCCCTAAGACTCATTTTATGGCTTTATTAATATTTATGTGTAGTGTAGCCCACTTTACGTGACGAGTTAGCTAAAACCATAGCTAATTTATTTTCAGTATATAAATATCGATGAATATTTTCAGTAAGAATCCTTTAATGTGCATATTTTGCTCTTGCAGGAAAAAAGTGGAATGAATCAAGGACATCCATACATATTATCTGCACATGTAAATCTTTTAGAATACTTACGGTAAAATAATCCATGCTGCCCGTCACGTTTACAGTTTGGATCTGGATTTTTTTTGGCTTGTTCTCCATGAATGTTCCCTGGATGGACTGAACAATGTCTGGAGACAACACGGCTTTCCAATTATCTGCCGTTCCAGAACTTTCTCTTTTTGTGTTGACCCTGTCTCTGCTGTTTCTATGTTATGTGCAAATTGGACCAGTGGAGGAAATCCATCCATCCGTTATCCACACTGCTTATCCTGACGAGGGTCACTGGGGGGCTTGAGTCAACTAGTGGGGGAAATGGAACTATTTAACAAGGCCAAATTAGATTTAAGACTTTTTAATTACATAACAACTAAAGCTATAGGATTTAAAAGAGACAAAATACTGTACTTTTGCTTTGATAGAACAAAATAGTGTTATGTGGAAGGCAGGAGCATGTCTGATGAAACAGTCCCAGTGATTGCGATATACCCTTCATCTCCACTACTGAGTGTGAATAACATACTGTACTGAAAAATATATGAGGGAAAGAACTGTTTTTATTGTTAGATCATTTTATAACAGGTCTAAAACCCTTCATGGCCACATTAATTGTCACACCTGTACAACTGTATGCATTTCATTGCAGCACTTCAACCTTAACATCATAAATATATAAACTCAGTTATATGTTTATCATTGAGGTCATATTTAAAGGTGGTGTTGCACTGGACTACATCATATTCAGACGTGTCTCTATACTTTTGTCCTCCCCAGCTTGTATCAGAATTTCATTATGGATCAGTGCCTTTCTGTGTTTTCCAAAACACAGAGTCAGGAAAAAGGTAGCACTCCATAGTAGAAAACGTCTTTAAGTTGGGGATAATTTTTCACCATGTGATTTTAAACTTCTGGGGAACACTATAGCTGCACTGTGCACTAATGTCCACTAGGTGTCAGCAGTACTCACTTAATAAAAACCACTGGTCCCAAATTCTTAAAAACGCCTTAACTGGCTGTTGCTTTTGCCATTAAAACAGTAAGTTGTGTCACCTAGACATTCTCTGTCTATCAGTTCTGCTGATAAGTGTGAGACAGTGTTTACTCAGATTTTGTATTAATGTGTGAAGCCACCCCTTCTCTACTCTAAATACCATCTCCAATGGGTTTTTTTTTTCCACACAAACCACTGGTTTTGCTTGTAGTAACATGTAATGCTCCACACTTAAGAGGATTTATTCCATTCCTTTTTTCACAGTGGGAGACTACTGGGTGTGTATAAAGATGTCTTCATTAACTGGGTGTGTCTTGACTGATGTGTGTCAGCAAAACAAGCACATTACACAAATGTTTAATGGCTTACAAAAGTGGTCCCAACCTGAGAGTTATAACCTCCTTAAGGGAGACAAGGTACATCTGAGAGGCTGAAATATGCTAAACAAAATGGAAAAGAAGAAGTAAACAACTTTCCTACCATTTCCCACTTTTTTTAAATATTTAGCATGGAGCCTGTGAATTAATCTAGATATCTCTTTTAGTCCTGTGAGGAGGGGTCATAAGACTAACTTTGTTGTAGGGGGTCACAGGACTAAATGTTTGAGAACCACTGGATTAAAAAATACAAGTCACTCACAGATTGAATTTATGATGGTTAGACTACGGTCAACAGGTGTCGCTCTTTGCATATTGCACATTTAACACTATAATGATTTATGTATAGTCCATTGTACACAGTCTCACATTATTTGTTTCATTTTGTAATAAAACACAGATGAAACAGTGTATCTGTTTGTTGTAGCATGTCTGCAGCTGGAGAGAGCCTCCTTTCCCACAAATAGCACAATAATGCAGAATAATGAATCCTATCATTAATCCGCTCTTGCTGACATAACAGGGTGTCTCTGCTCTTAGCTCAACACAAAGGTATTTTGCTTGCCATGGTGTCAAGGACAGAGAATAACAGGCAAACCGTCCGGGAACTGTCACACCTGAGCAGCAGCTTTATGCTACAAAAAAACCAAAAAACTGACATGTGACACAATCTGACAACCAGAGATCAGGGATCGTATAATAAAACTCATCGGAGGAAGGTGTGGTGAGGTGCTGGAGTCTCTGTTTTGTGAATGTGATGTCAGTACACACGATATGTTTTCTGACCATGTCCATAGTCAGGATGCTACTTGTTTTGGAGTGACACATGAAGACAAAATGGCTACAGGAGACCAAGCAGCTACTTCCACGCATTCATTTAGTCGAGAGTAAGGTTTTCCAGATGTTTCAAGTGCTTCCTGACGTGCGTAAGAAATGTCACAAGGTCAGGGATGCTGCCTTGTTTTGCAGGGATGATTTAGAGAGGATACACAGATGGAAAGACAGTGTAGTATATGTCTTCCCTCTGGTGTACTATCCCTTGCTTGTGTGTGTGTGTGTGAGCCTGACTGATTGAAAGTGAACACATACACAGAGCAGGTTTTGGGTTTCACTCACTTTAATCAAAGCTCATCAGCTGAGCTCAGGGGCGTGATGGTCTGAGCCATTTATTCCACCCAGGTGGTAGTTTAATCAACACAGAGAAAACAGGTCACTGTGTGTGTCTGCCTGGTCCAGGGACTCCAATCAGGTAATGAAGCAGAAAGAAGATGTTAAACGCACAAAAGAGGGATCATGCAATCCGCTGTGTGTGAGGAGGCGATCCCATGAGTGCATTTTCTCTGTGTATGTGTGTGTTTCTGCTCAGGTAAACACACACGTACGCAGCTTTTTGTTCCATCCTAAGATGCCTTTCAATTCCAAGAAAGCATTAACATTTTTGTGAAGCACACATGGCACATTTTGTTGTGATGTGTGTGTTTCTGTGTGTTAAGTAATGACTTGCTGCGGTTACATGAGCTGCCTGTCAGCACAGACGAGATGAACCCCCTGGAGACAGAAGAGTCAGAGTGTTGTTCACACCACACTGCTGTCAAATGCTATTTGGAGATAATCCATATTTGTTTTAGGGAGCTTTGAGTTCCATATTGGTGGTATTTGACACCAGATACCTTTAGAAATCACAGGAATGCAATGCAACGCTAGCTTGATTTTGGTAACTGACAGCATTTCAATCCACCCAGTTTCTATACTCAGTTACCATGTTGAGGATTACAGGAGGCTGTGAAGTCTACAAGAGGGGTGACACATGCAGACAAAAACATTCACACCTGTGAGCAGCATTTCACCCTCCACCTTTCTGTGTGGAGTCTGTGCACTGCGCTAACTATGGGTCACCATGCTTTCTGGTATGGAAAGGATGTAAATCAAAACAACACACTTGTGCTAATTATTGCTTTAAAACATGATGAGAATTAAAAATAATAAAAATAAAGCCTCATAGATTAAGCCTATAACATCTGAAGTAACACTGAAAGATTGAGCATAAATTAGAAAATGGTTTGTAGAATAGCACAAAAAGTTTGCAATGACCATAAAAAATTCCAGAAAAAAAAAGAAAAAAAAAGGCTATTCCCAATGTTTCAGGATTACCCCTGACTCTCTAGAACTCTTTTATTGTGGAAACTGTCCAGTAGCTCAAACTCTAATAAACTGTCAGCACTGCATTATTGCTGGATTTCTGTATAATTTAGTATAGACCACAATCCGTTTTGTTTCTGTTTCAACATTTCTTCTTCCTTTATTGTGTGCATAGGCATGTGTGTACAGGTCTGTTTGTGTGGAAGTCTATCTGTTTGCACAGCCCTGGTTTAGCTAAAGGTTCATGTCACTGAAGCATTGCCTAACCATTCACTATAACAGTGAATTATGGCTTCACCAATATTGACACAGCTCTTTGTAGTGAATGAACAGGCAGCTCATCCAGATGCACAAACAGGTTCCAGCCTATTACGGTTGTGAAATACAGAAGGAAGGACGAACGGGTGCGACTTGTCCCTGATCATCCAATCAAATTTGTTTATTTTGCACTTACTGTTTTTTATTTACGATGTGGTTTGTGTTTACTGCAATGGGAAGATCCAGCTCAAAATAGGACTGAATGCAAAAAACTAAGCATTAGTTTGCACAAGTGAAAATATTAGTAATAATAAATCATTTGTTGTATTGTGACTTCAGCTTTCAGAGATTATTTACACCTGAAGTACTCCATCAAGGATCACTGATAAGGTCGCCTCCATCTATGCAGCATATGTTATCTCTGACGCTGAAACCAACACAACTCACTTCTCTCAACTGGCCCCAAGTTGATTTATAACACAAACAAGAGAGTCATCATTCAGGGGGCGACCAAGAAAGTACAAGCCCATTTAAAGACACAACGCTAGAGGTTGTGTCTCCAGAGGGAGCTACTCTTGGTCCACAGATGGCCGAGGTGGTTGTGGACT